AACAAAAGGATCAATGCATAAATGTTCGTAATAAGGCAAATCGGACACTTGGATTTATTAATCGCAGCGTTAGTAACAAGACACCTGGTGTGGTTCTCAAGCTATATCTTGCTCTAGTTAGGCCCCATTTAGATTATGCAGTTCAGTTTTGGTCGCCATATTATAGAATGGATATAAATTCACTTGAACGTGTCCAGCGTAGGATGACTAAGTTAATTCCCCAAATTAGAAATCTTTCATATGAAGAAAGATTAACAAAGCTTAAGTTGCATTCACTGGAAAGGCGAAGAGTTAGGGGTGACATGATAGAGGTTTACAAGTGGATGAATGGACATAACCGGGGGGATATTAATAGGGTATTAAAAGTATCAACACAGGACAGAACACGAAACAATGGATATAAATTGGATAAGTTTAGATTTAGGAAAGACTTGGGTAAATACTGGTTCAGTAACAGGGTTGTTGATTTGTGGAACCAATTGCCGCGTAACATTGTGGAGGTGGGGTCCCTCGATTGTTTCAAGCACGGGTTGGACAAGTATATGAGTGGGATTGGGTGGTTATAGAATAGGAGCTGCCTCGTATGGGCCAATAGGCCTTCTGCAGTTACCTTTGTTCTTATGTTCTTATGTTCTTAGGTAACTGCAGAAGGCCTATTGGCCCATACGAGGCAGCTCCTATTAATATTTGCAAGTGCCATACGTGTTAAATGGATGCTATAGCATCCATTTAACACGTATGGCTCACCCATACGTGAGCCGTCTCATACACCCCCTCACCCATCTCGGCCTCCCAGCCATTCCCCACTCCACCATCCCCTCTTCCTTCCCACCATGCCCCACTCCCCTGTCCCTCTGTCCTTCCCACCATTCTCCATTCCCCCATCCCCTCGTCCCTACCATCCCAAACTCCCCCATCCCCTCGTCCTCCCCACCATTCCCCACTCCCTCGTCCGATGCCTTCCCATTTGGTCTGATATTCCCATAAAAAAATTAGGAACATCAAGTGATCTGATGTTCCCATCACTGAAATATAAGAAAAAACATTTAAAAACGAAATGAAAATATGAAAAAAAATAAAAATTAAACTATACTCACGAAATGAACGGTATGGTAAACAACACAGCTCAATTCCAATGCAATTCACACAAAATTATAAAATAAAAATGGAAATCAAAATCTATGAATAATTCAATTTATCAATGCAATCAGAAACATTGAAATGGAGTTGTACATATTTAGTACAGCATGTGTGTTGCTCTTACATAAAAAAAAAATAAAATAAAATGTTTATTTAGGTAAGGTACATACATACAATAAATTTTACAAAGAATGGTTGACTTATAGGTAGAGCTAGTACATACAATGCCTAAAGCCACTATTACGCAAAGCGTTTCGGGCATGATAAACTTAAATGACAAGCTTAATACTAATTGAGCATAATGAGTAGAATGAAAACAAGAAATGAAAACATAGATGAAAAAGCAGCACAAATACAATTATGTCAACAAACAGCGCTCTTAAAAAAACAGACATTGGTTGACAATAGAAGGGTAAGGTAGGTTACAGGGAATTTATTAGGTATAGCTTCGTTTTTGACTTAAACATGCAACAGATGGCACTGTTTTTCAAAAAAAGCATAGTTTTACCTGTCACAGGTGTGGAATCTATACTTATACTTACGAAATGAACGGTATGGTAAACAACACAGCTCAATTCCAACACAATTTCACACAAAATAATTCAATAAAAAATCAAATAAATCGAAATCTATGAAAATAAAATTTATCAATGCAATCAGAAATATTGAAATGGAATTCGTGACATATTTAGTATAGCGTGCATGTTGCTATTATGTGCATCAGATGGCGTTGTTTTTCAAAAACGCATGTTTTTACCTGTCAGAGGGGTTGTCATCTATATAGTAGGTATATAAAAAGATGCACCTATTCGACTGCAACGCTGTATCAAAATTTCAAAGCAATCGGTGAAGAACTTTCGGAGATTACAGCGCATGTTGCTCTTACTTCCAACAGATGGCGCTGTTTTAAAAAAAAAAACATGTTTTTTCCTGTCACAGGTGAGGCATGGATATGGTAGATATATAAAAAGACGCGCCTATTCGAATGTAACGTTGTGTCATAATTTCAAAGCAATCGGTAAAGAGGTTTCGAAGATTTTCCTCACATGAAAAACACAGTTTTCAGAAAAAACATTTTTTTTTTTTTACCATCACAGACGTGACATCTATATAATATGTCTATAAAAACCAGCTCGGATGCGAATATAACGTTGTGTGAAAATTTCAAAGCAATCGGTGAAGAACTTTCGGAGATTAGCGGTTATGCACAAATGAACATTTCCATTTAAATTTTATACAGATGGTAGACAATGGCTCGCAAAGCTCCTCTTTGCATTCTTCAAGCACCCTGGCAAACACTACGTCGGCCATGGGGATTTGTTTGGCTTGAGTCTCACTATTTGTTTAATAACATCTTCTCTGGTAACTGCTAAACTAGTCAACCTAGGGGCCTCGTAGCCTGGTGGATAGCGCGCAGGACTCGTAATTCTGTGGCGCGGGTTCGATTCCCGCACGAGGCAGAAACAAATGGGCAAAGTTTCTTTCACCCTAAGTGCCCCTGTTACCTAGCAGTAAATAGGTACCTGGGAGTTAGTCAGCTGTCATGGGCTGCTTCCTAGGGTGTGTGTGTGTGTGGTGTGTGGAGAAAAAAAAAAAAAAAAAGTAGTTAGTAAACAGTTGATTGACAGTTGAGAGGCGGGCCGAAAGAGCAAAGCTCAACCCCCGTAAAAACACAACTAGTAAACACCTGTCCTCGTCCCCACCCACATAGACTTGTTTGGCTGAAGGCATAATGTTAAGTTCCTCTTTAGTAAATACAGAGATAAACTATTTATTCAAAATACTACATCTCTTCGTCATTATCAGTTATCTGGCCTGTCTCAGTTTTTAATGGACTTATCCTTTCCTTAATCTTTGTTCGATATAACTGAAAAAAACTTTAGGATTTGGCTTTGCTTGCCCTGCTATAAAAACTTTAAAGTTTCTTTTTGTCCTCCTTATCTCTTTTTTAACATTTCTAACCAGTTGGATGAATTTTGGTTCTAAACCGACTTACCCATTCTTAATCTTTTTGTAAAAAGCTCTCTTTCTACCTAAAAGGTTCATCAGATCCTTTGTTATCCATTTTGGGTCATTATTATTCGACCTATTCAATTTGTATGGTATATTACGTTCCTGTGCTTAGCTTAGAATATTCTTAAATATGTTATATTTGTACTTCATCGAAATCCCTTTTTACATCATCCAACGCTGGGTTCACGTCTCGCTCCAAGATCGGCCTACCTCCTATGCCAAGGACTTTCCAATCTATTTCATCCAAAAAATTTCTTATGCCATTAAAATCAACTTTTCGAAAATCTGGCACTTTAACAGAATTTTCTCATACAAATCTATTACATTCCATGCTCAATCTGATTTCTTTGTGATCACTGTTCCCTAGCTCACTCCCAATTTTTATGTCATTAATTTGTTTCCCCTGTTAGTTAACACTAAGTCTAAAATTACTTTCATGCGTTAGTTCCTTAATGTGTTGCTTAAAGAAGCAATCGTCATTTAGTTCCAGAAAATCTTATGCTTCATTATTCCCTGTTCTGTTAATTCAGTTTATTCACCTAAAATTAAATTCACCCATGACACAAATACTGTTTGGCCTAGATGCTCTAGATATTTCATCCCATAGTTGCTTTGCTTCCATTCTAAGTTTGGTGGCCTGTATATAACTCCTATTATAAGATTTTTAGCTTTTTCGTTAAATTCTAGCCAAATACTTTCTGTGTATGGCTCAGTTTTGATTCCTCTCTGAGATTTTCTTCAAATTTTGCCTTACATATATGGCTACTCCCCTTCCTCGTCTAATATCTGTGTGAAATAGTTTAAATCCATTTATTTGATATTAAGCTAATATAGTTCTCTATTTTCTACATTCACCCACATATCGGTAAGTGCAACAATATCTATTGTTTCCGTGCCGACAAGAACATTTAAATAGTTTATTTTGTTTCTTAGACTTCTACTGTCAGTGTAATATACCTTAAGTGTATTGCTATTTTGAGGCTTTTCTCCTTCCCTGTTTATTTTGCCAATTTTCCCCCCACTAATACACACTTTTATTGCCTCCTTTCTCCATATAAATTCCCATACCACTATCTACTAACAGTTTAAATCCAAACAGACGCCTCCAACCACTGGTTCCAACGAGTTGACAACAACAACAACCCCAGCCCTCGATAGATGCACCCCATCACGAGCATACATGTAATTTCTTCCATATTAGTGTTCCCAGTTATCAATGAATGATATTGCATTTAATGTGCAATATTTGTCCAGTCGGCAATTGACACCAAGTGCCCTCGACAACCATTCATTTCCAACTCCCTTTCTTGGCAGAATGCTACATATGATCGGGATTCCTCCCTTGCTCCTAACTATATTCTATGGCTGTCTTAAACCTCTGTATCAGTGCCTCACTCCTAACTCGTCCTACATCATTTCCACCGGCACTGATACAAGTAATGGGCTTGTTCCCGTTTCCAGCTGAGGTCATGACAAGACCACCAGAACCTTGAGGTCAAGGCAACACTACAAGATCCCTGAGGTCATGACAAGATGATAGAACCACCAAGGTAGAACCCTTGGTCATAACACGACCCCCCTGAGAACCATCGGTCATAACACGACCCCCCTGAGAACCCTCGGTCATAACACGACCCCTGAGAACCCTCGGTCTATAGCTATGGTATGATGGTGGACTACAGGTATGGTATGATGGTGGACTAACTACAGGTATACTATGATACAACACTACAGGTATGGTATAAGGGGGTACACACCTGCTTCTGTGTCTCAGTATGGTATGATGCTGGACTAACTACAGGTATACTATGATACAGCACTACAGGTATGGTATAAGGTGTACACACCTGCTTCTCAGTGTCGCCCAACATCTCCCCCAGGGAGTGTTCAAGGGTGGAGAAGGAGGGTCTGGCCAGCGGGTCGGTGTGCCAACACTCCAGCATCACGCGGTACCTGCAACCTTACAACTCTTACCAACAACTCCACAACTTACACTAAATACATCCTAACAATCCATTCATTTAATTATTCCATTACATAAACTGAGATGCACTCAGGAGTCTTAATTACTGAATGATGCTTACTGTTCCCAATGTTAGCAGAGCAGTTAACCCATTGTTAGCAACGGGTTCAACAGTTAACCCAATTTTAGCAACGAGTAAGATAATAATAGCAGTAGACTAAACAGTTAACATAAGGTTAGCAAGGTGGGTTAAACAGTTAAGAGGTTAAAGCTTGAAGACTCACAGGCTGTAGGTGGAGAAGCGTGGCTGGTCCAGCCTCACTCCCTTCTCTAACTTGACGATGAAGTTCTCGTCAAAGTCTACTCCAGGGTATGGGTTCTGTCCCAGGCTGAATATCTCCCACATGACCACCCCGAAAGCCCAGACGTCACTCTGGATGGAGAAGACCCCGTCCTTCAGGCACTCCAGTGCCAGCCACTTGACGGGTACTGGTCCCTGTGGGTGTTGGAGGGTCAGTCACTCATGGGTACTGTGGGTGGTGGTGGGTCAGTCACTCATGGGTACTGTAGGTGGTGGGTCAGTCACTCATGGGTACTGTGGGTGGTGGTGGGTCAGTCACTCATGGGTACTGTAGGTGGTGGGTCAGTCACTCATGGGTACTGTGGGTGGTGGTGGGTCAGTCACTTATGGGTACTGTGGGTGGTGGTGGGTCAGTCACTCATGGGTACTGTGGGTGGTGGTGGGTCAGTCACTCATGGGTACTGTGGGTGGGGGTGGGTCAGTCACTCATGGGTACTGTAGGTGGTGGGTCAGTCACTCATGGGTACTGTGGGTGGTGGTGGGTCAGTCACTCATGGGTACTGTGGGTGGTGGTGGGTCAGTCACTCATGGGTACTGTAGGTGGTGGGTCAGTCACTCATGGGTACTGTGGGTGGTGGTGGGTCAGTCACTCATGGGTACTGTGGGTGGTGGTGGGTCAGTCACTCATGGGTACTGTAGGTGGTGGGTCAGTCACTCATGGGTACTGTGGGTGGTGGTGGGTCAGTCACTCATGGGTACTGTAGGTGGTGGGTCAGTCACTCATGGGTACTGTGGGTGGTGGTGGGTCAGTCACTCATGGGTACTGTGGGTGGTGGAGGGTCAGTCACTCATGGGTACTGTAGGTGGTGGGTCAGTCACTCATGGGTACTGTGGGTGGTGGTGGGTCAGTCACTCATGGGTACTGTGGGTGGTGGTGGGTCAGTCACTCATGGGTACTGTGGGTGGTGGAGGGTCACTCATGGGTACTGTAGGTGGTGGGTCAGTCACTCATGGGTACTGTGGGTGGTGGTGGGTCAGTCACTCATGGGTACTGTGGGTGGTGGTGGGGTCAGTCACTCATGGGTACTGTGGGTGGTGGTGGGGTCAGTCACTCATGGGTACTGTGGGTGGTGGTGGGTCAGTCACTCATGGGTACTTGAGCCATTCTTGGCTGCCAACATCACCAGTTGACCAGTGGTGCTTGATGTGTAAATACCCTCAGTCACAACCCTTCCTCCGAATAGACAGTACGTTTTAATACTAAATGTAATGAATACATATCCGCAACCCGCATTCTGACTGCATAATACATAAATACACATAATTGTGGTTATATTCTCCTCATTATCTGTTAATAAACTCAATGTTTAGGTTGATGTTTTTTTGTTCAATTTCGTTTCGTTTCGTTTCAAAGCCATGGAGCAGGCAAGCAGGGGGTTGAAGACAGGGGCGAGGATGCAGAAATCTTGAGCGAGGAACTGGAGACGAGGTGAAGAGGGGAGATGAAAGATCGGTGGCCCAACCACCGTGGGTAAGAGTTGCAGCTGATGCTGCGGTTTGGTGGTAAGGTGGAGTGCTCATGGGTGCTCGCTGGTGTGTCCTGCAGGAGGCAGGGCTTCTCGTCGCGGTGTTCTTTTCAGCATTGCGTTGGTGTTCTACTGATTCCTTGATGTACTCGGGCGCAGATCGTCGGTGTTGTTGTTCTTCCTGGCCTGCATTAGTTTAAGCTTTAGTCAGTAGTGTTTTTTCCTGCCCGAAACGCTTTGCGTAATAGTGGCTTTAGGCTTTGTATGTACTAGCTCTTATCTATAAAGCCAACAAACTTTGTAAAATCTCTTTATGTATGTACCTTTGCCTAAATAAAAATTATTATTATTATTATTATTGTTTGTTGGTCTTGCATCGCGTTGATACGGTGAGGCTATCGTTGGAGGTAGCTTCCAGCCGGAAATCTTCAGTTGTGTAGGGCTGCTTCAGTGGAGGTGGTGGTGTTCCCACCGAGACGTCCTCATCTGATGAGTCAGCTGACTCGGAAGTAGATGCAGTGAATCTTGAGGGATGAGTTCTTGCCTGTTGAGGCTTAATGGGACCTGCAGCTGATTTAGGACGTTGAGAGGGTTCGCACACGAGAGGTGGAACTGTGGTAGTTGTCGATAGAGGAGGCGTCGGCGTCTGGGTGGCTTGTGATGAAGGTGCTGGAGGAGCAGGCTTTGCTGTTGATAGTAGATCCGTGAGCACGGCGGCGTTCACGGTGATGTCAGGGACCGAGACTGTATCTTAAGAACTTGAAGTGGTGAAGACTTCCTCTGGAACTATGAAAGCCGGAAGACCATTTGCTTTGTATAGAATATTTAATATTTTTACGTATTCCTGGGGGTTATTGCAAGCTATCATGCTGGCCGCTGATGTTAATGCTTGAACTGTGCTGTACAGTGGTTGGTCGGTGTGGGCCGGGGGTGATGTCGGCTGGCTAGATGAGTCGCTGGTTGGTGTTTGGGAGCTGGCTCCCCATTGGCTGGTAGTAGCAGTGGGACGTCCTCCCGGAAGCTCCAGGAAAATGGCGTCTTGGGCGTTGAAACCTGAAGTAGAGGTGGTCGCTGATTGGCTTGTTGCTTCCGAGGTACTGGCTCCGGTAGAAGGTGTAGATTTCTCCATGTTTTTGATGACGTCTTGTCTATGAGGACAACGAATGGAGATTGCCGGATGATCGTCTTTGCAAAGCAAACAGCATAGTGTTTCAGACTTGCAGATGGAGTAATGGTGGTCAGCTGAGCAGAGGCTACACTTCTGAATACGCTGGGTACATTTGCTGCTGGAGTGGGTGTACTCGTAGCACCGGAGGCACTGGTTGACGATGTGAAAACGTTCCATCTTCACACGGAATGGCGGAATGTGAATACCAAAGCTGTAAACACCATTTCTGGTAGCCAGAGTAGCCGCAGCTTCTGTCTCGAAGGTCAGCTTCAGGGAGTGATTTCTGTTGAAGTAAGCTTCGTGAAGCCCTAAATCCGCGTTTGATTCATTGAAGTCGTGCATGAACGCTCTTTCATCAGCTTCATCTTGTTCCACGATCCATTGGCTGAGATCATGAATAACGACAGTGTGTTCAGCCAGGTACTGGCGTGGGAAGTTGAGACGAAGGTGTTGGTTGGAGAAATTGGCGCTGAAAAACAGAAGTTTGTCGACTTCCTCCTCACTATAAAAGAAGAGGAGGATGTCCGTGCCTTCTTGTTTGATGTCACTCCTGCAATGTATTTAGAAAGCTTCAGGAGTGATGTCTTGGAGAATGGTTGCTCGTTGAGGGGCGTACCCCTGATCTTGTAGCGTTTGTGACGCATGATGAGTTTCCTGGTGGCTGATGGGGTCTCTCTTAAAGCCTACACATCACTGGAGATGGCCTCCCGTCTCTACCCGGCATAAAATACCAAGTTAGGAGTGGGGTCTGCCAATTATTTACCCACCCGGCAGTGCTAGGTGCGAGAGTGTAGAGCTGGAACAACGAGAACACGTCCGGCCGTGACTGTTGCAAGTTGCTGAGTCTGTTCAATTCCTTATCCAAAAGTTTTAAATATAAAGAATTTCTTTTTCAGTTTTAGTAAACAATGGAGATTTTATTCAAAATTTGAAAATATACTGAGTTACTTTATAATTAATTGAAAGACTTTAGTTCTCTTTTATTAGTTTTATAAAATTGTAATATCAGTATAGGAATAGGTTAAGTGCTAATTGTAATTGGGAAGCAAAAAATGCTACTTACATGCTTGTCCTCCTGCACTCCCAAGGTTAGGTTAGGTCCTCGTTTTCTATACAGCTTTTCAGGTAAACTCTATTATTCACAATATTTTGGTGCGATGCTGGCGATTAAGTGTACAGTATTTATGTTCTATGACGATAGTCAGGATTATGCCTATTAAATTTAGTATTAAAACGTACTGTCTATGCTGAGGCTGGGTTGTCAGCCAAGCATTATTAACATGAAAGTGTATTGGGCACTATGTTTGTACCTCAGAATATTATCTACAAATTAAAGAAACAATTTGTGTTACTTGTGGCAGAGACCTGACGAAAATAGTGATAAAACTGAAAGTAAACTTGCTCCGGTAGTTCACAATATATATCAAAGATCTATTTAATATTATATTTCCATCACTGTAAAGTAAATCCAATGGATCAATATCTCTAACAACAAATTTAAATATCAAATTTAGATATTTGTCATCAAAATCCAATGTCTATAATTATAAGATATTTTCCATGGCAAAATTCAACCCAACTCTCAAATATATCTTGTATTAGGATATAAAATATACACATAGCAATTCCCAGTTATCTGAACATTTTCAGCTAGTGTTTGTTGATGAAATATTCACATTTATACTTCAGTTGTAGAGATTGAAAACAATCTCTACAACTCTTACAATCTCTACAATCTCTACATATTGTTTGTTGTTTTCAAGTAATCGAGATACTTACATCGCTCTTCTTCTTGTAGTTTTGGTTTTTGTAAATGTCTTTCGCAAGTCCAAAGTCACTGATCTTGACAATATTTTCTTCCGCCAGAAGAACATTACGAGCCGCCAAGTCTCCATGGAGCACCTGGAGGACATGAAGACACAGTCAAATGGGTCGTTGTGAAAGTCACACAAATGATAAATTTGAAATTTTAGCGGCTATTTATATTATATATTGGTTAGTGTAACAGTCAGCTATATTATAAATAGATCACTGGTGAGGTCAGCGGTATTATAAATGGTATTATGATTAGGTTTGGTCCGGTAAGTCTACGGCTGCAGACCCGGGTTCACAGGCGTGGACAGATCAAGGTTTTCTAATGAGAATGTTTTCTAATGATCACTAACTTTCTAATGGAAGTTAATATTGCAGAAGTTTTCCTGCAGTATAAACTTCCAAGTGATTGTCATAGGCTATGACTGGAGATTTCATTGCTATAGATCTGTACTTAAGGCCTGGACCAACCTTGGGTCTGCAGGGCAATTAGAGATTAGGCATTCATAGCTTGGTGATTAAAAAGCTTAGGACGTCACTTAACTGTTTTAGTAAATTGGCCAAACCTAACCTACTTGAGGACCCACGAACAGAAAACGGGACATCACGTCAATGTCGTGAGCTGCTACCATTTTTTTGTACATCAGTTTTTGGCCTTAGGTAAATTAGTCGTCAAAATGCGACGTACTATTAAGGAAATGGGCTGTTGTATGCGTGGATCGGTTACGTTAAGTCTGTATATTTTAGCATCCCTTATTTTGTCTGTTGTGGCAACACAAGAGTGTACCGAGTACCAACCGTTGTGGCAACACAAGAGTGTACCGAGTACCAACCGTTGTGGCAACACAAGAGTGTACCGAGTACCAACCGTTGTGGCAACACAAGAGTGTACCGAGTACCAACCGTTGTGGCAACACAAGAGTGTACCGAGTACCAACCGTTGTGGCAACACAAGAGTGTACCGAGTACCAACCTAAAAATTCACTTTAGTCTTGAACATAATCCAGGACTAAAGTAAACTCATTGTATTATGTATACCTGTAAGCAGGGTTCACTTTATGGTGTGTGTATATATATATGCGGAAAATCCACAGAGAAATATGAAATGAGGTGAACGTTTCGGCTTGTTAAAGCCTTTGTCAACACCAGACTGACTAAGGAGAAGGGAAGGGGGAGGATATATAGGCCGACACCTGACCAACCCATCCCTAGGAAAGAATTAACCAGAAACAGGTATAGCTTAGCTTAGAATGGTCAAAGAGGATTAAGCGGTCAGAGAAAAAGGATGAAAGATTAAAGAAAAGCCTCATGAACACACAATATATGAATATACAATTATAATGAGACATTGTAAGCCTCTCTATCAAAGTTGTTTCTTAAACTGTTGTGCAATATTATAACTTAAAAATGGATCAAGTTTGTACATTCCAGTACTAACATTAAGAAGATTTGGACACTGACTGATTAGAGCAGATTCAAATCAAATTCCGTTCCACGAAATCCCCACAATTGGTAATGCTTTTTGCCTCATTCCAGTTAATATTGTGATCGCATAAACTCGTATGTAGATACAATGCATTAGACGTTTGGGCAGTTCTAATACTATAAGCATGTTGTGACAACCGCAATTGTAAGGACTTTCCTGTTTGTCCAAGGTACACAGAATCACAATCATTGCAGGGAATCGAATACACACAACCTGCTGTATCAGGGGAATTTATTAAATTGGATTTGATCGTACTATTAGCAAAAAGACCGCCTAGAAACTTCATACTGTCGCCAAGAAGAAGACCACAGGTGAGACACCATAAGAGAAGTCACCTGATCATCATACAAGTGTTGATACACCCACATCAGAAATACCAGACACGAAGAGTGGAAGAGTAGATCGAACCAGCCAGGTATCGAACCAGACCGATCTGCTAAAAGAGACAGAGGCGCGGAAAATGCCCTGGGTCCGGACACAGAGCAAGCAGTGCCTGAATCCGAGGCTGGGCCAGAAGGAGAAGCCTCCCTGATAGAACTCCAGTGAGCTAGAACTCAACCAGTCCTGCCTAAAAGCATCTACCTCGGGGAAGGGTGCCACATATACTGGGAGATGCTTCGACCATGCTGACACGAAGAGGTCCACCTCCAGGGGCCCTAGGCGGACCTAATGGGAAGCCAGGCAGGAAATACTAAAAAGAAAGCAAAGAACCTCGAAAGTTCTCCACCACAACAGTAGGCCAGAGAGGCACGGCTGCTGCTGTTATGCGAGCTGTGCAGCCCCGTGTGCCCCAACCAGCAACAAGCACTCCCTACCCAGGACCAAATAAAAGTACCAGAACCCAAGCTGGCCCCCAAGGGCAAGGCAGAAGCCAAGCGACTGCCACCGCTTTCGGAGTGAGACCCGAAAGCTCCAGAGAAGAGAATCCTGAAACACAAGGAAAGTACTAACAGGGTGCCTACGGAAGGAAGTCTAAGCACATGCAGCTCTAGTACTTGGAACTCCTGGTCAACGTTCCAACACACAACAGGTATCAATGCTAACGTTAAAATCCTGACAGGTAATCGAGACCAGAGTAGACATCAGCCCCAGTCGGCTTCAGTCGATAAACTGGTGGGCAGATGGCCGGCTTGGTGGCGCGAACGAGCAGCGTGTCAGGTTGATGACGATTTGCTTGTTTTCTTGGGGGAGTTTCTAGCCTCTTGTTTCGGTCTCCGGTTGCAACTTTCTACCAGTTGGGGTCTGTTTTGGGGTGCCTATCTTTCCGGGTGCCTAGCCCCTGTCGATGGCAGACATGAATATACTCTCAAAGAGCGGAGTTTTCATAGGCCATTGCTCCCACGAGCAGGTTCTGGCTCGTGGTCCCCGGTAGGCATACAACTCCATATGACTGAAACCCCAGACTATTATAGCTAATATCAATCCTATGGCTCCAGGGAGCCGATGGGGCTTCCCTCAGAAATAATACTTTCCCAGATTATTGGGTCAACTCCAGGCTTCACTATACTTTCTGGACTCACTAGACAGAGTACACTCAACACCCACCTCATGGGTCGGCCAAACATCGTCGCAATTCTACGTGAATTGTTACGAGGCCTCATCGAGCATTATACGCCACATCTACAGTGGTGGTGCAACTCCACTGACACCGTCGCCTGAAGGCAACTCTACAGACACGAAGCCAAATCCCCAAGAAGAAGAAAAACATTAAAGATAGAACCCTGAAGCCACTAGACAATGACGCAGAAACAAGAGCACAGCGTGGCCAACGAGCACTGCTTCCTTTCAGCCCACCATTTAGAAAAAAAATCATTACGGTTGACTGGGACCTCCAGTGCTGTGTGGGACTTCCTCAATGCATGGATGGGACATGAGTGATGCCTGTGATGAATGCCTACCCCAACTTAAGGCCTGCAGCTGGGTTAAGCACTAGCACTAAGCTCTCTGATCTACAACCCTTCCTCTCCAGACTATTCATCCCTCTGTCCTGCTCATCCATTAGATGAGCGTGTACTCCCCTAGTTGTGCTTGCGGGGGTTGAGCTCTGGCTCTTTGGTCCCACCTCTCAACCGTCAAACAACTGATATACAGATTCCTGAGCCTACTAGGCTCTATCATATCTACATTTGAAACTGTGTATGGAGTCAGCCTCCATCACATCACTGCCTAATGCATTCCACCTGTTAACTACTCTGACACAGAAAAAATTCTTTCTAACGTCTCTGTGGCACATTTGGGTACTCAGCTTCCACCTGTGTCCCCTTGTTCGCGTACCACTCGTGTGTGTGTGTGTGTGTGTGTGTGTGTGTGTGTGTGTGTGTGTGTGTGTGTGTGTGTGTGTGTGTGTGTGTGTGTGTGTGTGTGTGTGTGTGTGTGTGTGTGCTTACTTACCTAGTTGTACTCACCTAATTGTGCTTGCGGGGGTTGAGCTCTGGCTCTTTGGTCCCGCCTCTCAACCGTCAGTCAACAGGTGTATAGGTTCCTGAAGTGTGTGTACTCACCTAGCTGTACTCACCTAGTGGTACTTGCAGGGGTTGAGCTCTGGCTCTTTGGTCCCGCCTCTCAACCGTCAATCAACTGATATACAGATTCCTGAGCCTACTTGGCTGTCATATCTACATTTGAAACTGTATAGAGTCAACCTCCTCATTACATTTATTAACCACTCCGACACTGAAAACGTTCTTTCTAATGTCTCTATGGATCATTTGGGCACTCAGCTTCCACCTGTGTCTCCTTGTTTGCATACCACCCCGCGTGCGTGCGTGCGCATGTGTATTCACCTAGCTGTGCTTGCGGGGGTTGAGCTCTGCTCTTTCGACCCACCTCTCAACTGTTAATCAACTGTTACTAACTACTTTTTTTCCACAACCCCCCCTTTCCTTCCCCCACCACACACACACACGCCCAGGAAGCAGCCCGTGACAGCTGACTAACACCAAGGTACCTATTTACTGCTAGGTAACAGGGGCATTCAGGGTGAAAGAAACTTTGCCCATTTGTTTCTGCCTGGTGCAGGAATCGAACCCGCGCCACAGTATTACGAGTCCTGCGCGCTATCCACCAGGCTACCAGGCCCCTGTGGGTAGTGGCCGCCTCGGGTAGTAAGCAGTGTTGTATGAATCGATATACCCGGAATTTGGCCAAGGGGAGTTACAAGACCAACCCGTCCTCTTAAAAAGAACGTCACTTTTGGCTGGTATGCGCACTATGGCCAAATTTGGACGTAATTTGAAATGAAATCGACTCACAAAAGTGACGTTCTGTTCCGTTTTCTATTCGAGTCGTCCGGCGTACGCGCAGAGGTTATAAGAGGACACTTTAAATTAACGTTTTTCATAACTTTTGAAACTTCATGAGAATTTCCTGCCCACCTAACCTATCAGAGGACCCTTAACTTACTGTTGTTGAAAAAAAAAATCCCAAATTTATTTTCATTTTTTTTTTTCATTTTCAAATTACGTCCAAATTCGGCCATACGGGCAAACGACCAAAAGCGACGTTATTTTTAAGAGGACAGGTTGACAAGACGACAGTAGTGGCTGTCTGCTGAGTAATGCTGCTAGTGTGTTGCTAGAGACGTCTGCCAGGGTGTTAGACACCCCTGGAAGTGATGATTTGTGACTCCTGTCAGCGTGTTGCTGAAGCCCTCTGCCAGTGGGTTTCTGGAGAGCAGATGTTGGGTGTTGGGAATCGTGACGATACGGTGTGTGGACTGGCCCATGCTGAGGAAAATGAACTCGTCGGTGATGAAAGCCTGCAATGGACGTGGACGCCGTCCACGTCCATTGAGCGTGGACGGCGTATACTTGAAGATAGTGGACTCGTTGGGATTTGAAGAAGTGCAGATATATTGAGTGTCCTGGGTGAAAGCGACACTCTATACATAAGTGTAGTTATACTTCGCAAGATAATATATTGGTGAAGGCGTAATTGCATCTTGTTTAACCCCCTTTATTCCTTGCACTATTACTTGCTACCGCCAATTCTTGAGAACTTACCATTGTCTTAGAGGTTGTGATCATAGAAGAAGTGGCTATAAGGCCCATTAAACAGAAAGAACCCGGTTACTGGCTCAAGCAGGCCGTAACAGTGTAAGTAAGTGTGTGTGTGTTACAGGAGGTCCCAAGATGCTGCTAATATTAGAATCACCAAATGTTACATTACCAACTGATTAACAGTTGGTAATGTAACATAATATAAGGCAAAATATGAAATGCAGTTTACATGTGAATGCAAGGTTCTTATACACAAATTAACATTAAAAATAAAAGATAATCATAACATACATAAAGTAACAATATACATTACACAACATTATGATGTAAATATACTTACTTGCAAGCAGGGAAACTTGAAAGATTTAATTCACAAACAAAAATATATTAAAACTGCCATTACCTTTTTAAAGGCAAGGTACTCCATTCCCCTGGCGACCTGGAAAGCCCAACAGAGAAGATCTTTGGAACAAAAGGCAGCAGCGTGGGGGCCAAGGGAGCGGGAGCCAACATAGCCGTCTGAGGCGCCGCTGCTGCTCTCTATACCAAACATAACATCAACTTAGTCTTGTTATCTTGTTAGTCTCCAAGACTGATGACATGCAAGCACTTTATAAGTAGCTGAAATATGCATATTAATCTGTCTCCAAAGATCGTCACAAGTGTTATTTTATTAGCAATACAGCCCGTTATTTGGAGAAAGGCATTTCCATAAAATGTTTAACAATATTAGTCTTGTCAGTTTAAAGCAAAATATTTGCACACATTTATGCTTTAGAGTTAGGCATATTTAGTTAGATACATAACATTCCTAGTCTCTACACTTCTCAGACCTACCAAAGGTGAGGGTGCTCATGTCAGAGGTAATGTGGTGGTTAGAGGAGTTGGAAATGGTCCGACTGCGGAAGGTTCCCATTGAATCTTCACAGATGCCTGGCGTGTGAGGCGGGGAGGCTGGGGCGGCCCACAGCGCCTGGCTGGGGTTGTCTGGGTCAGATGTCTGGCCATTGGTGTACAGGACATTGTCTTGGTTGAAGCTAAGATGTGCATACTTGATACCACGAGACGTCCTGCCCCTGCGTGTTGGAGGACATTGTTTACACGTTGCTGATTATACATGATTCATGCACATATGGTGTTTGAAATCCGACACATATCAACATTCTATAGTTAGCCATTACTAATTTAAAGAAAATGGGAGTTTTTCGTAACGTCATCACAACAAGACGTCTATTTACACGTATATTTGGACCACAATTATCGTCATGTCCGCGGCCTGAAGAGACTGTAAAATTTGTCGCCTGAGGAGATTGTAGGGTCTATGGCCTGAAGAGACTATAGGGACCCCATCCCTTCGCTATTTCCCGGTATCGGGCAGCCGGGGCGCATCCGATCCCATGATCGTCGTCGCCCCTAAATCAACACAACAACAACAACAATTATTCTTTTAACCTCAGTCTAGTGTTTAAACCGAATAAAATAGTATTCACTAAGACTGAATAATTATACCAAACACACTAAAATATAGCTTAGCTCCCTTAGTATTGTTAAATAAACTTCACCAGTCTCCGTGGTGTAGTGGTAAGACACTCGTCTGGCGTTCCGCGAGCGCTTTGTCATGGTTTCGTATCCTGGCCTGGGAGGATTTACTGGGCGCAAATCCTTAACTGTAGCCTCTGTTTAACTCAACAGTAAAATGTGTACTTGGTTGTAACAACGATTCTTCGCGGCGGGGATCGTATTCCAGGGACCTGCCCCCCAGTGGCTGTACAAGAATGTCACAACTCTTGTATATATCTCAAAAAAAAAAAAAAAACTTAGTCCTTAAGACAGAGTATTGGAACATGGCTTGGGTAGGGAGCAGGGCAAGTCACGCTCTAGCTCACTCACAGCATCATAAAGAGGAGGCAAAGTGTCTCCCCCAGAGGCTCGCATTCGCAGTACTGCAAAGGTCTGAAATGAGACCACCCAATAGTGATCTAGCCACAGCAACCTTTACATCAACCATGAGAGTACTTGAGTATCCGACTTGTTTTATGTCTAGCTTTACGAGGGGCCAGATTCATGAAGGTACTTACGAATATTTTTCCTTCTTAGCGGCTACGTCGGTATTCAGGTATGCATTTAAGAAGGAAAATCTTCGTAAGTATGCTCCGTCGTGCTAAGAGTGCTGTCGACCACACGTAGCTTTACGTAAACTGGATATAACTCAAATTTTCTCTACTACAAAACATGGAGGAACGATTTTATAATAAACAAAACATTTTAGCAGGAGAGTTTCATCAAGAGGCGTCTTTCGTGTTAACTATATATGCATTCTCTGCTTGAAACTCAGAGAAGGTGGCTGATGGGAGCATTTACTATCACCCAACGTCCTGTTCACCTCACAATAAGTATAGCTAGGGGTGTACCTTAACTATACATACCCATTTTTAATTTATTTTGTTTCTCCCCAGATTTAATTTCAAAATTAAATCTGGGGAGACATAAAAGAAAAATGTGTTGTACAAATTATGTTAGGTAAGAAGGGTTAAAACTTCAAAAACTTCTCTCATTGAATACTTAAACCTATAATTATGACAGTACTGTAGTTCATACAAACATTACATATAATATGAGATCTTAATGATCCATGGTTAACATTTATGATTTAATAAGGATAATACTGGTAATAATAATAATACAAGCTATAATTTAAAACCTTTATTACTGATTTCTTTTTATTGACAAGCTTAGGTATACACAGCAATGTACTGCTACCCTATTCTTTATGAGAGATTACAGTGTAGGTCATAAACTAGCTAAAAGCTTATCCAACATCCCCACCGCACTGGACGGCCAATCATACATGGAACACAAGAGAATAAGAAATATAAGGCTGATCTATTAGCCCCCACTAGCAAAATCTGGGTACAGCACAAGAATATCTTCCAATATTCCTGAGTGTATGAAGCAATTACAGAGCTCAAAGTACCTCACACCATTTGGTCTAAAGTCACTGATAACAGGGCAATCACAGATATAGTGATGGAAAGTATGTCCTCTCAAGTAGGACTGAAAACAGATGTTTTTTCACCCAGAGGGTTATAAAAACCCCAACCCACACACACTAAATAATGTTGTGAATAATGAATTAAAAAAAGTCCACTTATGGATGACAACTAACAAACTAACACTAAACATAGAAAAGACCTACTACATCTTATTTGGAAGCAAATCAATAAATGATTTCAAATTAATGACAAATAATTAGACAATGTTAATATCAGTAATAAAAAATATGGAAAGTTTCTTGGCCTATTCCTAGAAGAGACAACTTCAGCACCCAAATACAACACATAACTAAGAAAGTTTCTGAAACAGTTGGTATACTCTTCAAAATCAGATATTATGTACCTAACTCTGCTCTCCTCTCACTATATTATGCACTAATCTATCCCTGTCGTAATTATGGTATCTGTGCATGGGGTTCAACCACTGCAAACCATCTCTAAGTCCATCATCACCCAGCAAAAATCTGCTGTCAGAATAATAACAAATTCCGCTTTCAGACAACACTCAGCCCGCTTTGTTTAAATCCCTAAACATGCTAAACAAACTCACTCCACATATCTTCTACTGTCAATTACATTTACAACCCCTCTCAGTCTGGCCCTGGCCTGTTGTCACCATGGGGGGGGGGGGGTTTAGTGGGCGGTTGCTGGAGTGTGATGCTCCATGGGTCAGTCCTCTGTCCTTTTGAAGCCTTATGTTCCTGCCGCTGTCTTTACCAATTGTGCCAGACCCCTTTTCCTTTTCCTCGTGTTTCATTTTTCTCCACACTCTTCTCCTTTCAAATTGTCATTTCCCGCCGACCTTTTGCCTGTTTTGATCATTCTTTCGGCCTTCTTTTGTTTTAACGCCCGGGTGTTTGAGGAGGCATACTCTTGCACCCGTAGAACTGTAGTACCCAACGTCTCAATTGAGGGGACCCTTTTATTGTCAATCCGCCTAATAGTGGCTCCGTGGTGGGTGGGGGGTCACATTCATGAATGAAAGTCTTTCCTCGTTTGTATGTCAATTAATGTTCCTCTTATACGTTCTCGGGCTCGTGCAATGGGCGACCAAGCCCCCAAGTTGGCCTGTTGGAAGACTGGGCTCTGTAGCCCCGCTGCATTGGGCCCCGACCTTGCTCCTCCTCTGACCCTCCTGACTACTCCCCTTGGCTCCCCTCCCTCCTCTGTGGTTAAGTCGAGCCCCAAGCCCCCAGTGGTGACCACCTCGTCCCCTGGCACGGCTCAGTCTCTAGTTGTGACTACTGCGCCTTTTAACCCCTCTGTCTTGGGGTTTTCAACGCCGTCCTCGCTCGATTCCTTCCCGTACTGATGCGTTTCAAACCTTGTTTGGTCCCGCTTTGTGGGCCAAATACTTTGATCTCCTCCCTCTTGATTCTACACCTCCTGACGATTTCTCCCTTCATAGGCACCTTGTTGATTCAATAGATGCCTCCGTTACCTTCATTCCCACCCGTCTCGGTACACGTGTCGTTGCTGCTCCTTCTCAGGATGCAGCCTCCTGCTTGCCGCCATATTCTGCCTAGGCGAGACCCCTGTTCGGGTCTCCAACAATGCACGATTGAATGCCAGTGTTGGCACTATTCTTCTCCCACCCCATGCTGCAACCGGTGTTCGGAATCTACAGGACTGCCAAGAAGATATTCGGCATATCCTCAAAGCCCAGGGCCTTTCTGTCCTCCAGGTAGACACGTTTACTCGTCCCCCTCGTGGTCGTCGCCGTCAACTCCTTTGGGTTGTGAAGATTACCTTTGATGGTAGGACCCTTCCGCCCTGTCATTCTTGCTGGTGCCAGGTGCTACGTCCAGGAGTACATTCCCTCTCCTCGGCTCTGTAATAAGTGCTGGAGGTTTGGGCATGGTGCCCTCCGCTGCTCTGGAAGTGTCTCTCTGTCCTTTGTGTGGGGGGCGAAGGTCACTAAGTCGGAGTGCACTTCTCCCTAGGCTTGCTGCCTCAATTGCGGTGAGGCCCACCCTACCTTCTCCCGCGCGTGTATACATTACAAGCTTGAGGCAGCCGTCCTCAACTTGAAGCACCGGGAATTTTTTTCTTTTCCTGAGGCGAGGCACCAAGTTCGCCGTCTCCCACCTTATGCTAACGTCTCTTATGCTTGTGTGTTGCGCTCTTCCTCTCCTCGTCCTTCCCACCTTCTTCAGTCTCACAACCGTTTCCAGGCCTTAGATCTAGACACGCCCACCGCCGCCGCCTCTGTTCCTTTGAGTTCTGTCCCGAAGGGTCCCCTCATGGCTCTGTCTGGGGTTCACCTTCTTTCTATTCAGTCTGTCATGTCTCCTGTGTCTTCTTCCTCGTTTACCTCCGGTCCTCCTTTCCGTCCTTCTCCTCCGTCTCTTAGCTCTCCCTGCCGCCTGTCAGTGCGGGCTGATGTCCATCGCTCTCCCAATGGCCATCGTATTTGCTCTCGTTCTGCTTCTCCTGATGAGATGCTTGAATCTGTTGCCCAGTACATTGTTGCTGGAACGCCTGTCTCTGAGTCAGAAGCGAAAGCCTGGCCCCTCTCCTTCCTCCTCCCTGGCGGGTAAGAAGACTTCGCTTTCTTCCTCGCCCCCTACCTCTGACACCCTCGCTCCATCCCCTCCCGTTTCGGTGGTTGCGCCCCCTGTTCCTGCTATGGAGATTTCTTTGGTCCCCGCTTCCCTCTCGGTTGCTGCCCTTGCTGAGGTGCACTCCCTGGTTTCTGCCCCTCCTGCTGCTGTCCTTGACCCTCGGTTTCCCCCCCCCTCCTGCTCCTCCTGCATGATACCTGCTTGATGGGGTTCTGGGAGTTCTTCTACTCCCCAAGCCCAGCCTGAGGCCAGGCTTGACTTGTAAGAGTTTGGTCCACCAGGCTGTTGCTTGGAGCAGCCCGTAGGCCCACATACCCACTACAGCCCGGACCGGTCCGGAACGTCTTTTAGAAAACAGTCTAGTTTTCTCTTGAAGATGTCCACGGTTGTTCCGGCAATATTTCTTATGCTCGCTGGTAGCACGTTGAAGAACTGCGGACCACCTCCTCCTGTCCCTGC